ACTATAAATCCATATGTGTTTTTGTGTTTATAGCTTTTTACAGCTATCAGAAAACAATGTTATGAATTAAACACCAACAAAACTACTGAAGTTAATAAAATCAAATTACTACTGAAGTTAATAAAATCAAATTACCAACATCACTTAATGTGACGGGTTATACTTGGGTGAAATGAAGTCACCTGCGACACGAATATGGTAGTGACAGGTACGGGACAAGTTCTTCTGCACCACCATCTACTAAGCCATGACTCTGTTCTCCCATCAATTTCCTTTTCCTTAGTTTCTTCATCCCAACATGGCATCATGTAGCTGTCACTTGGGACTAATGCATTGTTTTCGTATCATTTGCTTCTGTTAATGTTTCATTAGATCATCACAACTTGGCACTTTGGTGCTGAATAGAGCAAGCACAAATGGACCCACAGTACTGAAGTGGTGTCATCGGAGGGTCATACAGCTGGTCTAGAACTACACCGTCCTGTAGGGCAGCCGCTAGCCATATGTGGCTATGGAGCACTTGAAATATGGATAGTCTGAATGAAGTTGCGTGTATGGAAAACACACTCATATCATATTTTGATGACTTAGAACGAATAAGTGGCTCATTCAATATTTTAAAAATCGATTTCATGTTAAAATCACATTATTTGGAGTATATTGGGTTAAATAAAATTAATTCCACCTGGGTTTTTGGCTTATGTTTATTTTTGCTTTTTAAAATATATATATTAGAGGAGCACCTGGGTGGCTCAGTGTGTTAAGCATCTACCTTCGGCTCAGGTCATGATCCCAGGGTCATGGGCTCGAGCCCCAGCATCACAGGGGCAGTGGGGAGTGTGCTTCTCCCTCTCCCTTTGTCCATGGTCCCAGCTCATGCTCTTTCTCTCTCAAATAAATAAAGTCTTAAAAAAATTATATATATCCCTAGAAGGTTTCAAATTATACATGTAATTCTTTGAGACTTGTAATTCTATGAGACTACATGGTCTAGAATAATTGTGTGTGTGTGGGAGAGAACATGTGTACAACAAGCTGAAAATACAAAAAATTCTCATGGAAAACACGTGGGTATCCAAAACACATAGAGCTAGTTTCCAGTTTACCACTGCTCTAGCATTTACTGGCTGTATTCTTTCTCAGAAGCCAAGGGTACAGAACCAGCATAAGACTTCCCTTGGCTTTCCCTCCAGTATCCTAGTGATATATTTCTGTGGTTTTCCCACATGACTTCCTTGTAAAAGTGTCTGGGGAAGGCACTTCCATCCCTTCCAGAACATATGAACTGTCATATATGGTCATTTTGCAGTCATTTGATCAAAAATTGTTCTCCACTAGGGAAACCCATGGTGGATAAAAGACAAAACAAAACAAACAAACAAACAAAAAAGGTGAGCATGTACTTTCTGGGCAAACAGATATAACCACTTCCCAAGCTATACAAAACTGCTGAAATTCAGGGGCCACATCAGTTAAGGAACTAGTCTAAAATGATATATAGCGGTGCCTGGGTGGCTCAGTTGGTTGGGTATCCGGCTTGATATTTGTTCAGGTCATGGTCTCCGGGTCGTGGGATTGGGCTCCAAGTCCGGTTCTGTGCTTAGCATGGAATCCGCTTGAGAGTCTCTTTCCCTCTTCCTCTGTCCTTCCTCCTTGCCTCAATTCTCTAAAATAAATAAATAAATCTTTTAAAAATAATAAAGTAAGATAATATATAGCCAGCTATCCAATTGCACTCACGTAGCATGTATTTTCTGAGTATCTACACTGACACAAGGCCCCACAGTAGACATGGGTAAAACACAAAGGTAAATAAATCAGGGATTTGCTGTCAGGAAGCTGGCGATCCAATAGAGGGGATAATGACGTGGTAGGCCTGGTCCAGGGACCCAGAGGGGTTCCTGCAGGACTAGCAAAGAGGGTCCTGGGCTTCAGGATGGAAATCAAACCTGAGCCAGCAGTAGGTGAGAGCAGAGTTTATTGAAGATATATATGCAGAGAGAGTGAGAGAGATATAGGCGGAGCATCCAAGAGATTTGGAAGGGAGAGGAGTATAAGTCTTATCTTTACTTAGGGCCTGGGGTTTTATTAGCGATTATGGTCTGGTATAGAGAACGGGTCCTCTCAGGCATCCAGGAACTGATCAGAACAAGGACAGGATCCAGGTGTCCATAAGTCCCTCATTCCCTGAAGCCAGGGGTGTAGGCATCAAGGTATTTGGAGTCAGTGGTGTTAGAGAACCTTTACAATGACCTCATGCAGTCACTCCTTAGATGTTATCTATGGTACTGGAAGACTCCAGAAACATCATTATCTTTTTGTCCCTTACAAGGAGGACATATGCTATCGCATTACAAGGTGTATATAGACTGAGGTAGGGGTGCAGGTCCTAGCAAGGCAGAAGCCAGAAGAGAAGCAAAGAGGGGGGAAAAAAAACAAAACCCTTCACTTCCCCCCATGGGGTCCCTTCAGTTTCTTTGTCTCAATAAGACGTGTCAAAATTTCTTCTGTTTTAAATAGCAAAAGTTAATGTAGTATATGTTCCAAGAATAGTCTAAAATGAGTTCTGTACCTGAACTCATATAGCTGAACACAACCCTATGAGGTTGTTCCCCATTTTACAGATGAAAAAACCGAGGCAAAGGGTTATAAAATACTTAAAATGTTATACTATTAAGCAGCACTGGCACGTTTCAAACACAAATAGTCATATGAGCTTTTTAGTCACTCTTTTCTATTTTGCTTTACTTTATTATTTTTAAAAAGATTTTCTTTTTAAGCAATCTCACAGTCTAGTGGAAAAGAAAATATAAGACAGGTCAGATGGAAGCACAAACAGTGTGGATTTCTGTCACTTGCTACCAAAAAAAGTGTGACTAAAATAAACTGTTACAACATTCTGGCCATGGTCTTCACCTTTCTGTGCCCCCACTCTTGCCTTATAGAAACCAGATCACAGGGAATAAGAAAGAGGTTTTTTGTTTTTTAAGAAAGAGGTTTTTTTTTAATTATTTATTTATTTGACAGACAGAAATCACAAGTAGGCAGAGAGGCAGGCAGAGAGGAGGAAGCAGGCTCCCTGCTGAGCAGAGAGCCCCATGCAGGACTCGATCCCATGACCCTGAGATCATGACCTGAGCCGAAGGCAGAGGCTTCACCCACTGAGCCACCCAGGCGCCCAAAAGAGGTTTTTGAAAAATGAAATCACCGTGATCAAATGAGATGTCTGGTAGGATGGGTCAGATAGAACCAAGTGGCAAGTAAGATAAGGACTGAAAAATACCCATGGAATTCAGAAGCTAAGACACTGGAGAGCTTGATGAGACAAATTTTTTCAGGAAGTCAAGTGGAGTGCAGACTCTGGACTGATGAGTGTTGAGGAACAAAGAGATGGTGACGTCATGGAGACAGTGAACTATGTTATTGAACTGGAACCCCTTTTAGGTTGTTGTATCATCCTTTGAGGGTTTGAGATAACTTTAAAGGAAAATAAAAGTAAATTCCTTTCACATGGTCAATAAGCAGATGAAAAGATTCTCAACAGCTGCCAACAGGGACATTCAAATCAAAGTCACAATGAGATTATCACTTCACATCCACTAATATAGCTACAATAAAAACAGACAACAGCTGGGTGGTTCAGTCAGTTGAGCGGGGACTCTTGATTTCAGCTCAGGTCATGATTTTGGGGTCATGGGATCAAATCCCACACCAAGCCCCATCTAGAGCCCCTCATTGGGCTCCATCCTCCATGGGGAGTCTGCTTGAGATTTTCTCTGTCTCCCCCTCCAACTGCTTGCATACTCACTCTCTCTCTGTGTAAAATAAATAAGTGAATCTTTTTTTTTTTTTTTTAAGATTTTATTTATTTATTTGATAGAGAGCATGAGAGGAGAGAGATCAGTGGGAGAAGCAGACTCCCTGCTGAGCAGGGAGCCCGATGTGGGACTCGATCCCAGGACTCCAGAATCATGACCTGAGCTGAAGGCAGTTGCCCAACCAACTGAGCCACCCAGGCGCCCCTAAATAAGTGAATCTTAAAAAAAAAAAAAGGTAAATGCACCTGGAAACACTTAAAAAAAAAAAGACTATAGCAAATGTCATCAAGAATATGGAAATATTAGAACCTCCAGACATGTGCCAGTGTGAGTGTAAAGTGGTGCTGCCAATTCAGAAAAGTTTGGGAGTTCCTCGAAAAGTTTAATGGATAGTTACCACATGACCCAGACAGTCCTAGGCATAATACCTTAGAGAAACGAACACATTTGTCCATAGAAAAACTACTACAGGAATGTTTGAGGCAGCATTAATTATAATAGCCAAAGAGTAGAAACAACTCAATGCCCGTCAACCTGATGAATGGGCAGACAAAATAGGTATACTAATACAATGGAATATTCTTCAGCCATAAAAAAGAATGAAGTACTGATACATGCTACAATGTTGATGAAACTTGAAAACATTATATACTAAGTGAAAGAAGCCAGTCAAAAGACCATATATTGTGTAACCCCATTTATGTGAAATGTCCAGGTGAGGCAAGTGCATATAAAAAAGGTAGACTAGTTGTTGCCAGGGGTTGCCAGGAGGGAGGAAGGGGAATGACTGCTAAGAGGTTTCTTTTCCGGGTGATGAAAATGTTCTAGAATTAGAGGTGTTGGTTGCATAACTCTGAATAGAGGAAAAATACCGCTGGAGTGCAAATTTTTAAAGGGTAAATTTCATGCTATGTGAATTATATCTCAACTTAAAAATCAAAATAAGTTCTTCAAAATTGCAGCGCTTATAAAAGGATGCCGGCAAACCCAGCAACACCCCAGACCAAGCACAAGGTGAGCCACTCCCCCAGGCCAGGGACCATGAACTGACCACGCCTCCAGGAGGAGGAAGTCCCTGCTTAGAGACCGCTGACTGGCTGAGCTTTAGGAGGGGGCGGGGCTAAGAGGGGTGCGTCTAGTCTCTCTCGCAGGAGCAGGGCGGGCCGAAGCCTTCGCTCGCGAGATTTTGGTGGTTCCGCATTTCGGGTCGGCAAGGTGGGGGAGGCGAGCGCAGCAACTGGCACCGGCTCGACCCTCGGTTCAAAGCAGCGGCGCGCGGTGCTTTCGCTGGCCGCGATCTGAGGATTGTCCGCTTCCTCGTGGTTCCCGCGCGGGCTCCGAATCCAGGGCGCGGCGGGGGCCAGTGGCCCCTCCCCTCCGAGGATAGAAGATGAGCTTCCTCTTGTGAGTGTGGCGGGGCGGAGGGCCCGGAGGGCTGAAGGCCGAGGGCGAGGGCGGGGAAGGGGGCGAGCAGGCGTCTGAGGCCAGAACGGGGTCCCGGGGTCGGGGTCGGAATGGCCGACGTTTGCTTTGCCCGCCTCCCGCCCCCTTCTCCCGAGGGCTATAGGAGAGGCCCGGAGGTGGGCCGGGGCAGACGGAGATGAAAGTCGAGGCAAAGGAAGCAGAGAGAGAGAGAGAGAGAGAGGGTTGCGGAGTAAAGAGGCCCCGAGGCCGGCAGTGCCTGCAAACTTTTCCGCCTCAGCGCCCCTGAGGGTGGAGGGACGACCCGGGGGCGGAGCCCCGAGCCCCGCCGCTGGGGCTCCCGAGTCCTCTCAAGTCTGGAGCCTTCTTGTACCGATCCGTGCTGACTTAGCTTTTTACTCCACCGTATGCCAAATTTTACTATCTTCTGTATTAAAACTACCCCCGAGGAAAAAGGCTACCCCAGGAAGACGTGGTTTGAGAAGCTTGAAGTTAAGCTGCGGCCTTGCATGCAGACCTCTCTCCAGTTCGGATTCAGCCCGCTTTGTGACTTTGTGTAGATTTTAGTTAGTTTGTACCCTCTACACCCATCATGGGGCTCAAACTTATAACCCCGAGATCAGGACTAGCATGCTATACTGACTGAGCCTAGCCGGGCACCACTGTGACTTTGTGTAATTAACTTTTCCTGGGTAGAATCCTGTTTTAGAGATAAGGCCTGGGGCCCAAATGAGGCTTAAGTGGAAACTTTTGTAAATTCTCTGATGATTCTTAAGCGCGTTAAGGTTTGGGAAGCGTTGCTCCAGCACCTTATTATTTTCAGGTGGCTCTCTCTACCTGGTACATCACTTAAATTTTTGTGTTGTGTGATTGAGGACATCACCCACATATTTGACATTTTCATTAAGTTTTATTCAAGTTCGTAGTGTTCCTTAACCAGAATTTATCCGTTTCCTTATTGTGAGAATGTTTTGCTTTGGGAGGCACATTATGCTCAGAGACTGGGTTTTTCTTTGCTGGCAACATATTTAACACAGGTTTGCTGTGGGAATTTCATAGGCCAGTAGCGTAGCAGCTAGTGTTTCTTATTAAACTAATGAAATACTCGTAGCCAGTGATGGATTAAATACACTATTGTTCCGAACAAGGAGAGATGAAAGAAAGAAGGCCCAGATTTAGTTGAGATGTACCTTTATAGGTCTTGGTGCTGAGGAGAGGGGTTGGGCTTAGCCAACCCAGAGCTGAGATCCAGCGAGTGAAGGTCCTTGTTGCCAGGGAGCAATGGTGCTGGTGTTGACCTGCAAGTGAATTTCCCTTTTGGGCTGGGCATTTGACTGGAAGGGCCAGTTGCCCCAAGGTTTTCAGAGAGCTGTTTATTTATTTATTATTTTTTTTAAGATTCTTATTTATTTACTTAACAGAGATCACAAGTAGGCAGAGAGGCAGGCAGAGAGGGGGAGAGGGGAGCAGGTTCCCTGCTGAGCAGAGAGCCCGATGCAGGGCTCCATCTCAGGACCCCGAGATCATGACCCAAGCTGAAGGCAGAGGCCTTAACCCACTGAGCCACCCAGGCGCCCCTCCAGAGAGCTGTTTAGATAGCAGTGTCATCTTGCCCAGACCGAACACTCTAAAGTATTCCGCACAAATTCTTGGTATTTATAGTCAAAATATCTCCTTGCCATAGTTGCTTCTTCATAAGTTTTCACTGATAAGCCCCAGGGGGGCCCCTCAGCGGCTGAACTACTGAGTTCTTACCGGTGCAAACAGATGAGCTGATGACATCCTGACACAGTTTACTTCATTCTTACATGAAAACAACTTTTCTTTTTGTCTTTGTCATAAACAAGTGGATTAAAACAAATTTCACTCGTCTTAAACAAGTGGATTTGAAATCTTACCAAACCAATACATAGCAGAGAAATTTGGATTCTATGTAGTATTTTGCTGTTACAGCACTACTGAGAATATCCTTGTTCAAGTTGTTTTTTCCTGTCTTTCAGTTATTTTTTAGAAGTATGGGCTACACAGAATGATTACCATGTCTGAAAGTTTTTCTGTTTAGATTGTAATTGTAAATCTCTGTATTCCTGGAACAATCTTTCCCTCCACTCCCAAAGCCTTTTTCCTATGAGTTAATGTTTAGTTAGTGGTTTGTTTGTGGATGCCCAGTTGCTTAGTTACTTTTTGGATCGAAATGTGAGGCTGTTTTTTTTCTTCTAAACTTTTTGTTGACAGGCATTTGCATTTTCACTTCTTGGCTGTTACGAATGATGCAGCTGTGAACTTTTGTGTTCAGATTTTTGTATTGGATGCATAGGTTCATTTCTTTTGGGTAAATACCAAGAAGTGGAATCACTGAGTTATATGCTAACTATGTTTAATCTTTTAAGGAACTGCCAAACTTTTTCAAAGTATGACAACATTTTGCATTCCCACCAGCACTCTTTGAGAGCTTCAATCTACCCACACCATAGGTAGCACTTGTTAATTGTCTTTTTGATTATAGACATCCTGAATGGATGTGAAGTGTTATTGTGATTTTACTTAGCATTTTTCTGACTAATGATGGTCAGCATCTTTTTGTATGCCGTTGGCCATTTGTATATCTTCTCTGGAGTAATGCCTGTTCAGATCCTGTGATCATCTTTAAATTGGGTAGCTTTTTTTTTTTTTTTTTGAGTTGTAAGAATTCAAAAATATATATATTTTTAAAGATTTTAGTTAAAGAGAGAGAGAATGAGAGAGAAAGCACAAGTTGGGGAGAGAGGAAGAGGGCGAAACAGGCTTCCCGCTGAGCCTGGAGCCAGACTTGATCCCAGGATCTTGAGATCCTGACTGAGCCTAAGGCAGATGCTTTACCAACTGAGCCACCCAGGCGCCCTGGAAGTATTACTGTAGATGAAGATCATATTGACTCTTGAGACATCATTTCAAGTTAGTTTCTTTTTCTTTATTTTAAGGTTTTATTTTTAAGTAATTTGTACACCCAGTGTGGGGCTTGAACTCAACCCCAAGATGAAGAGTTGCATGTTCTACTGACTGAGCCAGCCATGTGCCCCCTTTCTGAAACTTTTTCTGCACTTAGAAGATGGTCTTCTGCTGGACATTTGGTCCTTCATTATGTTTATGACTTGATATCTTGGCATGTGAATACATGTAGCTCTAACTTGTTCTTCTTAACTATGTACTATTCCACGTTATGGATATATCAAATTTATTTATTTCTCTTCTAATAAGTTTTGGGATTGTTTCCAGGTTCCTCTTTGTTCTTTTATGGAAATTTAACTTTTATGGTTAGAAATCCCTCCATTTTTTTCTGGGTTTCATATCCTGTTAGCTTCCTTAGAGAAAAATCATTTTTCTCAGTAACCAGTTGTCTCATTTATTTTCCATGCTAATAACTTCAGAATGTTAATGTCACTTCTACTGTGGTTTGCTTTGACGGCATTACAAATCTTTTGATAAAGAAAACTGGATTTTTTTTTAGCTCTTCAAAACTTAGGGCTATCTCTCTTCCCCATCATTGTCTGTAGGTAGAAATTGAAGCCAAAAGGAAGTTTGTTTTCTCAGACAGTCACAGAATTAGTGGCAGATCAAGGACTAGAATCCTGGTGCACCATACTACTTCATGAGGCATAGTAAAATTGGGTTCTGTATGAAATTGTGTTGCTAATCCTGAATCTTTGTGAGGAAAAACATTTAAAGCATTCTTTATTTGTGATTGTCACCCTCTCCCTGTCCTGGAACTTTTCGGGGAGTATTTTTTAATTTTCAGAACAATTTGTATACCTAAAATTATGCCATTCTGCTTTCATTCCTAAAGTAAAGATTGATATACTTTTACTTTCAACCTAACAGCAGCAGCCGCTCTTCTAAAACATTCAAACCAAAGAAGAATATTCCCGAGGGCTCTCATCAGTATGAACTCTTAAAACATGCAGAAGCAACTCTAGGAAGCGGGAATCTGAGACAAGCTGTTATGTTGCCAGAGGGAGAAGACCTCAATGAATGGATTGCTGTCAACAGTAAGTTTTTAAGAACATTCAGCTTTATTGATTTATAGGAACGTTTTGCTAAAATCTTTTTGTTAAGTTTCTTTTTCAGGTATAACCGTTGTAGTATAATGAATTACCTATAAAGAAACTCATAGGGATGTCTGGGTGGCTCAGTGGGTTAAGCCTCTGCCTTCGGCTCAGGTCATGATCTCAGCGTTCTGGGATCGAGTCCCACATCGGGCTCCTTGCTCCACAGGGAGGCTGCTTCTCCCTCTGCCTCTTCCTGCCACTCTGCCTGCCTGTACTTTCTCTCTCTTTCTGACAAATAAATAAAATCTTAAAAAAAAAAAAAAAGAAAGAAAGAAAGAAAGAAAGAAAGAAAGAGAGAAAGAAACTCATAGGTACAAATATATCCGGAACTGTTTTGTTCTCTTCGGAGTACTTGGTTACGTAGCTTATGTGGCTGGGTAGAGACACCTGGGGGGGAAATGTTGAGTGCTTTGGGGTGATTTCTGAGAATAGAATAGTAGGAATTATTGGGTAAGGTGAGATAAAACATTGGAATGCAAAATTCTACCTGTGGTGGACCATGACTTTGTAGGGAGCCTGCCTCCCCGGTCACACCCCCCACTCCCAGCAGCTCTCACCTGCCTGCGTATACATAGACATCAGTTGCAGTTCGTATGGGCAGTCACGTGATTGTTATGACTTAGGAGTAATTGGAGGAAATTGAGAGATTGGGAGAAAATGGGAGGGACCCATGAGCTGAAAGCCGCTCGAGTTCAAGAAAATGAGGGCATGACATGGAAAGTTATATATTCTGAGGCTAGAGATTTGAATACTTGAGCCTGTCATTTCTGAGGTGAGATCAGTACCAGCTGACAAGATTTAAATCTGTTAGGGACTTCAGATGTTCCAGGAATTTTTAAACTTCTTAATGAAAAATTTCAAACATAGAAAAATAGAGAAACTAATACAGTGAATTCCCAGGCATCCATTGTCCAGTTTTAACAGTCAGTTCATGGCCAATTCATGCTTCTATATCTCGCTCTGATTATTTTTTTTTCTTTTCATGTTTTGATTCCTCCCTCCCCTCTCCACCTCTTCCCCACTCTTCCTGTCTCTCCCCTAGTTTCTTCCATGCTGGCAGTGAGACACGGCCAGCCCACCTCACCCTGATTGTTTTGAGGTGAATCCCAAATACATTCTTTCTTTCTTTCTTTTTTTTTTTTTTTTAAGATTTTGTTTATTTGAGAGAGAGAGGGCACAAGCAGGATGGACTGAGGGAGGGGGAGCAGCAGACCCCCCACTGAGCAGGGAGGCCAATGCGGGACTCAATCCTGGAACCCCAAGACCACCATCTGAGCTGAAGGCAGATGCTCAAATGACTGAGCCATCCAGGTGCCCCAAACATATTATTTCATCTATAAATATTCCATATCTCTAAAAGACAGGCACTCCCCCCCCCTTTTTTTTTTAAAGAATTTATTTATTTATTTGACAGAGATCACAAGTAGGCAGAGAGGCAGGCAAAGAGATAGGAGGAAGCAGGCTCCCTGCTGAGCAGAGAGCCCGATGCAGGGCTCGATCCCAGGATGCTGGGATCATGACCAGAGCCAAAGGCAGAGGCTTTAACCCACTGAGCCACCCAGGTGCCCTGGCACTCCTCCTTTTAAAGATAATGACAATACTTCCATTACTTTATGTTAGCAATACCCCTGATTGTCTTCTAAATGTTCTTTTTTAAAAGATTTTATTTATTTGATAGAGACACAGAGAGGGAACACAAGCAGGGGGAGTGGGAGGGAGAAGCAGGCTTCCCACGGAGCAGGGAGCCCGATGGGGGGGGCTCGATCCCAGGACCCTGGGATCATGACCCAAGCTGAAGGCAGATGCTTAGCAACTGAGCCACCCAGGCGCCCCTAATTGTTCCTTTTTTTAAAAAAAATTATATCTTGTTTAAATCAGACTAATAAGGCTTCTGTGTAATGTTTCTTGAATCTCTTAATGCGCAGGCTCCCCCTTGTTGCAATCTTTGTTCCTTGCTATTTTTGTTGTTGAAGAAACCAGTTCATTTATTTCCCACAGTGTGAATCGTGTTGATTGTATCCCCAAAGCATGCATTACCACGTTCTGTTCTTCCTTTTACTTCCTGTGAATTTTAGATCTAGAGCAGCACTGTCCAGTAGAACTTCCTGCCATGAGGCAAATGTTCTGTATCTGTACTGTGGCCATTTAGCTCTTGAAATGTGGCTTGTGTGGCTGGAACTGAATTTTAAATTTATTTTTAACTAAGTAACCATTTGTGGCTAGTGGCTCCCACGTTAGCACAGATTCGGAACTTTGCTCAAATTCGGGTTTAATTTTGTTTGTTTGGAAGGCTCCTTTATATGTGGTGACATATACTTCCAAAAGTGTCCAGAATGTCCTCCATACTATCCAGCTGTCTGTTTATGTGGTATTATTCAGCTGTTGATAATCATTTCTTTGATCAGCACTGTCCGATAGAAATATAATGTGAGGTACAAATGTTATTTAAAAATTTCTAGTAGCCATAATAAGAAAAATTGGGGTTTTTTTTTTTCAGCATGTTAAAAAGCCATTATTTGTATTACTAAGAGAAACAAGGTGCATAACTACGGGATATGTTAAATCTTTTGTGTAAGACAGGATACAGGTGCTTGGGGGCAGGAGACCAAAAAAATAATGTAGTGGTTATCCATAGGGGGAAGCTGGGGTGTTTGGGATTAAGATTTATCACTGTATGTTTTTATAGATCTTTGTGAACCATGTGAAGCATTATATATTCAGAAAAGACCTTCCCCTGTTTTTTTTTTAACCTTAACTGTTATTCTGAAAGCATCTGTTGGCCTTCCTGAGCCATCAGTTTTCCTTTGAGACTTTCTGTCTTGGACTGTTCTCCAACTTTTTAGCCTCAGGATCCCTGTATGCTCTAAAAAGTTATCAAGAGACCCAAAGAGCTGTCAGTTATGTAGGTTTTATCTAGTAATACTTACTGTGTTAGAAATTAAACCTGAGAAATTTTAAATACTTTTAAATATTTAAATAAGGACCTAATGATTACTTTGTCTTATAGCACAGTTACCAATATGTCTGTCATCTGTTACTCTGAAGGCATCTGTTGGCCTTCTTCAGCCTTCAATTTTTCTTGGAGACTTTTTGCTTTAGATAGGCTGTTCTCCAACGTGACTCAGGAAGAGGAAGGTTTATAAGTGAGGGAGTTTTATATAAAATTCCTTTTGACAAGACGGAGCTTTTTTTAAATCTGTTTTTTAAGAAATGCGGAAAAGCCCCAGGTGGTTTTTAGGGACTCCTTTAGACAGGGAACTAAAACATCTTTTAAAACTTTCCAAGGCTGGGGCGCCTGGGTGGCTCAGTGGGTTAAGCCTCTGCCTTCGGCTCAGGTCATGATCCCAGGGTCCTGGGATCAAGCCCCGCATCGGGCTCTCTGCACAGCAGGGAGCCTGCTTCCCTTCCTTTCTCTCTGCCTGCCTCTCTGCCTACTTGTGATCTCTGCCTGTCAAATAAGTAAATAAAATCTTAAAAAAAAAAAAAAACAACTTTCCAAGGCTTATGTGGATGTCTCTGCAGAGGAACATTTGACTCTGATAGATTCACTATTTACTCCCTTCCTCTTCCATTTCTTCCATATTTAGCAGAAGCTCCTCTTGGAAGTGCTCACTGACTAGCTCAGCCCCTCGAGACTCTGCCTTTTCTCTTAACTCTTATATTCCTCTCAATTTTGTCCCTTTGGATAGCTGGAGTCTCCAGGACAAGGGACATTATGCCACCATGTCCTTTCTGTGTCCTCAGTATGCATTAGGCCTCAGGTTTTTTATGATTTTTATGATAAGATGTTTTAAATGCCTGTTGATACAGCTGATAGACCTTCCGCCTTACAGGATGTTCTCCGATGCATTTTGCTTTTTCCCAACACAAATGGTATTGTCTGGTCCAGATTGATAGGAAGCAATGGATTTTTTCATTCCCTTGGATATAATCAAATTATATATTCTACTGATATAATAATCACCATTAAGTTAGAAGTATTGCTAAGATTTTATTTTCTTACTGTTCTGTATTGGCTAAAAACTTACTATATTAAAGCGAATATAGATTAAAAGTTAATTTAGGTGTGACAGCTTAATAAGAGAAGGGAATTTGCAGTATCCCTGGATCATTGAATCTCTTACAGATTTATTCAAAAACTTGAAGGCATTGTCCATTTTTCCTTTAGCTGAGAGGTCTGCATTTTATTGTGTTTGCACAAACATTTTAATATAATTCTGCTATTATGTTTCCAGCTGTGGATTTCTTCAACCAGATCAACATGCTGTATGGAACTATTACAGAATTCTGCACTGAAGCAAGCTGTCCAGTCATGTCTGCAGGTCCCAGGTACATATACTGACTATTAGATAGGTATTCGAAGTACTAAAGAAAGCTGATCACTCATTGATAGAAATGAAACAATAACGCCTTTTTGTTTTTAATCTGTTTATATAAAAGCAGTTCAATCTTATGAGTTCTTGAATGCTTCCTTATAAGCTTTTAGTTATTATTAAATACTTTGGTCTGTGGTACTTAGTATTTAATTGTATTATGCTGAATAATGAATGTTCAGTTTTTTTTCTTGTGCTTAGTGTTATGTCCAAATTGTGCCACTTTAATTTTCTGGCTTAAAGATGTTAGACTGAAAAAATTTGACTATAAGGGCACCTGGGTGGCTCAGCTGGTTTGGCCGACTCTTGATTTCTGCTCAGGTCTTGAACTCAAGTGTCATGGGATCGAGCCCTACATCAGGCTCTGCAATTGGCAGGGAGTCTGCCTGAGAATCTCTCTCCCTCTCTCCATCCCCCTGCTTGCACATGCACGTTTGCCCTCTCTTTCTCTCAAATAAATAAGAAGAAATTTTGAGTATAAAAAATTTTAAGAAATATTAAGAATCATGGAACTCTTTTATCACCTATAATGTTAAGTCAAGGTGTGATGGGATTAATGTTTTAGTGTTTCTTTCCAGTCTTTTTTTCTAATAATAAATGACTAATTTTATGTGATGATAATGGTATCAAAATGTTTACGCCTTGGGAAAAAATTGTCTTTCCTGGGTTTGCTACAGGTATAAAGGAAAAAAAAGGTCTCCAATGAGTTTGTAGTTCTATTTTTAATCACAGTATTTTGGAGGGATGTTTTTATTTTGTGTTTTATTCCTCAAACTTCTTTAAAATAAGTAAGAAAACTTTTCTGTGACTTAAATGCTTCACACAGTGAAGTTTTGTAGAAGTCTTAATATACATTCTAGCTCAGCAAAGGGAGGGAGAAGAAATTTATGCCTAAGAGTATTTCTTTAGTATTCTCTGCAGGAAATAGTCTCTCTTCCTCTCTCTCTCTCTCTTTTTTTTTTTTTCTTTGTTAAGATTTTATTTTTTTCCAGTTGAATTTATTTTTTTATTATTTACTTTTTAAAGATTTCATTTATTTGAGAGAGAGAGAGTGAGCGCACAAGCAGAAGGAGGTGGAGGGGCAGAGGGAGAGGGAGAAGCAGACACCCCACTGAGCAGGGAGCCTGATGCACGGAGCCCAGTGCAGGGCTGGATCCTGGACCCTGGGATCATGACCTGAGCCGAAGACAGATGCTTAACCAACTGAGCCAACCCGGTGCGCCCAGGAAAGAGTCTTATTATGTAGACTCCGTTGTTGATACCTTGATGGTCAGCTGTTGCAGGATGTGGGGGATCCATCTGTCTCTGACCTAGTCCTTAGCTCCCTCTGCCGTGAAGATACAGTTCCTTTATCTTTAAACATCCATTCTGGCACTGTCAGCTGCCACATTATCCTCCTTTTCTCTTCCAATTATAACTATCCTATTTCAGGATAATTCTATAGGGAACTCTGAGTAACCTCCAGTAGAACTTGAAGTCATTTACTAAGTTATGTTTAACTTCTATTGATAAAATGTAGACCTACTTTGATTACAAATTGTACATTTGTTACTGCTTTTGAAAACTCTATCAGTAAAACCTTTTTCTCTCCAGATATGAATATCACTGGGCAGATGGTACTAATATTAAAAAGCCCATCAAATGTTCTGCACCAAAATACATTGACTATTTGATGACTTGGGTTCAGGATCAGCTTGATGATGAAACTCTTTTTCCTTCTAAGATTGGTGAGTTAATGTTGAATATTTTCCTTTTTAACTGATAAATATGTTGTATTATTTTTAATACTTTGTTACTTAAAAAAAAAGTAATGATGGCTGACAAATTCCTCTCAAAAAAGTTTTGTAAATGCATATTCCCTCCGGCCATGTTTGTGTCTGCCTGTATTTCTTCACTGATAATACTGGTTGGCTACTTATTTTTTAATCTTTTCAATTTGGGTAAATAAGTTTGTTTGAATGTACATTAAAAAAATGCTGATGGCATTGAGATTTTTTTGATTTATTGATCATTGTGTTTTCTGTTGCTATCCTTTTTCTATTTCTTTGGTAAGGATACTAGCTCTTTGACATATATGTCATATGTATCTTTCCCTAGTTTGCCTCTTGTCTTATTTTGTTCATGAGGTATTCTTGCCATATGTAACTTTCTATTAATTTTTTCCTTTGTTGTGTGGATTTTAATATAATGATTAGAAAGGTTTTCCCTACTTCAAGATTATAAAAATATTTGTCCTTGTTTTCATTTAGTACTTTTGTGGTTTTGTTTTTACATTTAAATCTTTGTTCTTGCCAGAAATTTTTTTCTTAAGGCTCCCTTCATTTTTTTTCTAGTTATAAATGTCAATCAGTTTTGTACAGTACCATTTATCGAATGCACGTGTCTCTTCTCCCTGGGTTATTGTATGTGTACACCAGATTGCCGTGTAATTTGGAGTCTTTCAGTCTCTTTATCTGTTCCTGTAGGAATTCCACACTGTTTTAATTACCATGGCCATATATCTTTGAGCATCTTGTAGGGCTAGTCTCTCTTTCTTGCTCTTCTCTTTCAGAATATTCCTAGCTCTTCTGGGATACTTGTTCTTCCAAAGAACTTAGAATCATTTTGGCAAGGTAAAATAAAAGTATTTGTGAGATTTTGATTATTTCATTCAAGTTGTAGATTAACATAGACAGTCTTGTTCTCTTGATGATACTGGGTCTGCCCAAGAATTAGGTACATTTCTTCATTTCTTCATCTTTTCTTTCTTATTTCCTCTTGTAAAATTCTGTAGTGTACTTTATGTTAATCCTTCAAGTTTAAGTTTATTCCTAGACATTTTATGGTGTTTTTAAATTGATGTCTGGCTTATAAATGGTTGTTGTTTATTGATTTTTATATAAAATTCCTATAAGTTGACTGTCAGATTCTGATTGTTTCAGTTGTTCTGGATTGGTTTTCTTGAGTTTTTCAGGTACAGAATCACATCATATTAAGATAATATTAATTTTTCCTCTTCCTTTCTGATACAGACGCTTCTTGTGTAACTCTTATCTCATTGCCCCAGAGTAGTGCTGAGTAATGGTGATGATGTGGCAGACCTCTTTTCTTGTTGCCTTACTTTTATGCAAGTGCTTCTAGTACCTCAGCATTAAGCAGGAATCTTGCTTTTGGTTAGAGGTGTGTAAATTTTTAAAAATCAGGTATGATTGTTGAGTTTTACGATATTTTCCCAGTGTCTGTTGTTGGTTACCACAAGGTTTTCTCCAGTATCTTTTTTATTTAATGTTTTACTGGAAGAGTATTTTTTATTTGCTAATATTTTGATCAAGATTTTGGCATTGGTATTTATGGATGAGATGAGATCAGTCTTCTCATTTTCAGTTTAAGAGTGTCTTACGAACATCATGTTGGATTCTGTCTTGTCTGTTCGGGCTGCTAATTACAAAACTACCAGAGATTGGATGGTTTATGACAACAGAAATTTATTTCTAAGCTTTTAGGGCTGGAAGTCCAAGATCAAGGTGCCAGCGTAGTTGGGTCCCTGTGAGAGCCCACTTTTGGGTTGCAGACTTCCGACTTCTCAGTCTTCACATGGTGGAAGGAGCCAGCAGAAGTTCTCTGGGGCCTCTTTTTTAAGGGCATTGATCCCATGCAGGAGGGCTCTGCCCTTGTGACCAAATCACCTCCCAGAGCCCCACGTCCCCACGTTAGGATTTCAACATAGGAATTTTGAGGGGTAACAAGTATTCAGACCATAGCAGATTCCTTTTTGTGGTCTAATCAGTGGCTCTTTTGGAAGAAAAGCTTGTATCATGCTAACACCCTGTCTGTTTGCTATTGGTCAGGTTTTTTATTACTAAACCGTTTCCTTTCTCACAGATTCTTTATTGTGTATTGACTGTGCTTGGATGTTTCTGTTCAGCTCAGCTTGGAAAGTGCTTGGTTTAAGACAAATTACTTCTATTTCTTTAATGATTAAAGTCTTCCAATTATGGAAAATAAAGAATACTTAAAACTTTGTTCCCTTTTCTCAGCTTTCCATTCATTACTAATCCATCCTAATGTTTCAGAAGCCTTTTCCCCCTCAACTAGGCTATTATTTACATCTTACTTCTGCCAGTTATTTATTCTTACTAGATAGAACTGTTAACTCACTTTCATTAGCTAGAGGCTTATATTTGTAAATTCTAAAAGAAGGAATTTGATTTAAAAATCCAGCTTTTCAGTATATGAGTACAAGACACCAGTCCAGAAAAACATGCCCGCAAGCTCCAGAATAAAGTTAGAAAATGCAGGTTGTTAGGGACACCTGGCTGACTCATTCAGTAGGGCATGCAACTCTTGATCTCTGGAAGTCTTGCGTTCGAGCCACACGTTGGGTGTAGAATTTAACTTAAAGTTTTAAAAACACATGCCAGTTGTTAGCCAAGAGGGATGGGGGGTCAGAAAAAATTTGCTTGCAAGAGCAAAATAGACTAAATTTTAGGCTTTTAAGGACTGGTTAAGAAATAAATTAAAATGCAGGCAAGGAGAAAGTGTTTTAATCATTTTTTTTTTTTTCTGAAAGATTGAAGAAAAGGAAATGTTTCTTGAGTAGTATTGTGGAATAACCTTTAAGGCTGTCTAATCTAGGTTATTTTGGAAGCTGATGCCTTCTTAATGTGTTTATATACTATATTCGGTGCCACTTGTATTGTCTTGCTACTGTCTCTATTTCCTAAGACTTTGATCTTGTCAACCGAAATTCTCAGGAACGTGACCAGAGGTTACCAAACCCTCTCCCCATTCTTTTCTAAGGAAGTGTTTATTTTCTTTGCAAAATAGTGAGGTGCTCTGCCTCCCTTTTCCAGGAAGTTTGTCCCTATCTTGTATTACAGGAAAATGAAAATAGCACTTTAGAGAAAAGATAACAAGTTGGGGACTCCTAAAACCAGAAAACTGGTTTTTCAGAGTAATGCAGATAAAATACTTTTTATTTATAGACAGTAGATTATAATCTTAGTTTTCATTCCTGGTTGAGTGCGTGTTGTAAAAAAATTATTTAGAGTTACGAATTACAAAAATAGAAAGTGTTTTATTTATATCAAAATACTTGTTGCATTTAATCTTAGGAAGAAAGTCTCCAGTATTAAACAGCTGAAGTTATATTCATGTTAGCTCCTTACAAACTTGGTGCCTGTGCCTGTTCTTCTAAGGCAGTCAGAAAATGCTGTGTGAGGATACCTCATATATTTATGTTTGGGTTTTTTTTTCCTTTGTCTTTTTTTTTAAAAAGTATGTATGTGGAAAACGGGCTTATATTTGTGAATGTGTGTGTTTGTGTGTTGGAGTTGCTTATGGCAGCTTCTAAACTGTTCAGTTGGATAAAAGACAATGGATATATGTGTGTATTTGATTACAGGTGTCCCATTTCCCAAAAACTTTATGTCTGTGGCAAAGACCATTCTGAAGCGTCTGTTCCGGGTTTATGCCCACATTTATCACCAGCACTTTGACTCTGTGATGCAGCTGCAGGAAGAGGCCCACCTCAACACCTCCTTTAAGCACTTTATCTTCTTTGTTCAGGTAAGTTGAACCATGTTGACTTCTTTGTCCTTTGACTTGGACTCATTTGTTAATTTTAATAAAGAATAATTGAGAGAGCTATTTTACAGACAGAGAGTGAAGTATAAGCCGATTCCTCTCTTTTCTCTTTTCCATGCTATTTATTTCGTTGGTGAGCATAGTGGCAATATAGAAAGCATCACCCCTGTTTTGGGCTTTCTGCCTCTGACTGCCGCAGCCGGGTCTCTGGTTAGGATAGGACAGGGAGCACTGAAACTCCAGGACAGCTTGTCCACACCCTCCTGTTCCATCACCACTGCTGAGTAGAAGGGATGCTCTGGAAAAACATCTGCAGTTGGATTGTTTCATGAGATGTCTGTGCCTGGGAGAGAAACTTTGAGAAAAACTTATTAGTTGTTCTCTTGGTTTAAGCTCCCAGAAGTCCCATTTCAGGCCAAATCTTATGAAGACAGCAACTAGAAACTTCAAAAAGGACCACCCCCTTCAAAGATGTAGCCTATTACCTAATGGGCCCTAACTTGGAACTGGAACCCCCCCCCCAAGATTTTATTTATTTATTTAACAAAGAGCACGCACGAGCAATCACCAGTAGGCAGAGAGGCAGGTGGAGGGGGAGGGGGAAGCAGGCTTCGCTGAGCAGAGAACCCAATTCAGGGCTCAATCCCAGGACCCTGAGACCATAACCTGAGCCAAAGGCAGAGGCTTAACCCACTGAGCCACCCAGGCACCCCAGAACTGGAACTTTTTAAAAATCAAAATAATTCACATTGTTTGAAAAAGATATTAAAGAATTGGGACTCCTTTGGCAACTTTAGAGATAGATAATTCTCTATGCAAAATGTACATAGGTCTGTCTAGATAACTGTTTTTTGGTAGAAAAGCCAACAGTCTTATAGTATATATTGTGTATTTCAGTTACATGTGCCGCACAAAGGAGAATGTACTGTGCTCTTCTCGGTCTTCCTTCTGAGATTGTTGCGTGGCGTGGATCTCGATAGAGTGTAGGTGCTAAAATAGGTGTATAGATACAGATACGGGGTACATACAGATACAGTGTAGAGAGGTAGTGTAGCTATAGTATAGTATTTTTGATATAAATACTTGATACGTAGATGGAGGGTTAGTATAGATCTATGAAAGACAAAGGGCCATGGCCCAGTAGGTGGCCATGATCAGAAGTTCACTGTATAGCTTTAAGATCATTTCCATGGAAAGGCAAACATAGACAGTTTTGATTTTAATGTTTTACACAGTGAGGATCATGCTAATACCTACAGTTGTTTCTTTGGTAAATCCCCTATATTTTAAAAAAATGAGTAAAATGATCCCATTTTAAAATGTTCACAGAGGGGCGCCTGGGTGGCTCATTGGGCTACGGCCTCTGCCTTCGGCTCGGGTCGTGATCCCAGGGTTCTGGGATCGAGCCCCGTGTTGGGCTCTCTGCTCAGCGGGGAGCCTGCTTCCTCTCCCTCTGTCTGCCTCTCTGCCTACTTGTGATCTCTGTCTGTCGGGTAAATAAATAAAATCTTTAAAATGTTCACAGAGAACATTTCATCATTTTTTTGTATTTCAGAAAACCAGGGCTGGGAATGACATTTATGGAGTTTTAATTTTAGGCTTATTTTTTAATTTTACTTTTCTTCTCTTTTTAGGAGTTTAATCTGATTGATAGGCGTGAGTTGGCACCTCTTCAGGAATTAATTGAGAAGCTTGGATCGAAAGACAGATAAAATGTTTCTTCTAGAACACAGTTACCCTCTTGCTTCATTTGCTAGAGCTATCTCATTGCTATCTGTTATAGACTAGTGATACAGACTTTTAAGAAAACAGGATAAAAAGACACATGTGTTCATGTCTACTGACAAAATTGCCCCTCAGGTAGATTGGCCCAGTCCTTCAGTGAGAAATTCAAGAGGCAGCAGACTCTGAGGCACTGTTTGAACACTCCTATTACTGTCAGAGTTGGACTTGCTTGTAATATGTGATGATAACATGTAGTCTGTTCATTTTCTTTTCTTTTACTGAAGAAAATGAGTGCTTCAGGTTATAGCATAATAGCAATTGGGAATTTCCACCAGTACTTTATTAACAAGTTTCCAGAACAAATTACCTAATAACGCAATCAGATCCATTTTATCCTGTTTTTATTTACAAATAGAAGAGGTATTTTTAAGTTTCCTTAAAATTTAGAACATTTGTGTGTTACTTTGGGTAACCTTTTAGTTTGAAGTCCGTATGCTGGTGTTTTTATAGGTAAGACTATATATTATACGTTTATTTTTTCAGAATCCATGATTGCAGTTTAAATCCTCATATGACTTATGTAGTATGGGAGTAACCAGAGTTATTTCTAAAATGATGTTATTTTTTACTCTATTTGGGATTTTATTCACATAAACCTATCTAAAGTTTTAGGAGTTTGTATATCAGAAATAATTTTCTTAAGGCATGTAAGGATAGTCTTGTACATTTTTATTTTGAAATGCTTCATTCAGATTAATTTTAATAGGTAGCTTTAGGCTAAGAAAGAAAACTCCAAAAAATTATGACCAGTTCAGGTCTCAGAACCACTATTTTCATTCATGTTGTTTTTTTCAGAGCCCCTGAGATCCTGGAGAGGAGAGTGGAAGTACTCAGAGTACTTGGTTATTTTCTTTTGAATGTCCTTTAAAACAAAAACAAGAATTACTGCTATGTGTTTTTGTTGTGACTTGAGACTTCGTTAAGAGTAGTGTAGAAATGTCCAGCCTTTCCCCCAACAAGGATAAAACTTAAGGAAGCCCATAATAAAAAACCTTGGTGGTGTACACATTTTATAACACAGCTTAAAGTTTGGTGTGCTACCTAGTGTGTGTGTGTGTGTGTGTGTGTGTAAACAAAATGGGAGGAATAAGTAAAAGATCTTTACTTCATTCTGTTAGCAAAGGATGGCTTGAGCCCCAACAGGGGTTTAATCCTGTTTTAATTGTTTTTGGATCAAACTTGAAATTCTTCTATTTCTATTGGGATGAAAAAAATCTTCCCTTTTAGTGAAATAAAGGTCTAATTTTCATTAGGTTTCTAGGATTTAGTAAACTCCATCCGCCTGTCAAGAATGTACTGGGCACAAGTCTATTGAGGACTTGCCCGCCTGGCATAGCTTGAAGTTGGTCAGCATTCGGTGTGAGTTCAAAGCTCGGATTTTTGCAGAGTGCTCACTAACTCCCTTGATGGCTTTGATAAAAGGTTAGTTTGGTTAGGTTTTTTTTGTTATTTATTTTTATTATTCCACTGAAGTATAAGGAAAAAAATAGCTTAGGAACTCCATTTTTATCATAACTGAATTTCATATCCAGATATACAGAATTTTAAAGGAAACAAAACCTTTCACCTATTTTATTTAGGCTGAAACCATACATCACTTCAGGAATTAAAAAGTGGGATAATCCCTTATTTTAAAAAAAGAGAGAGAGAGAAGCCCTCTGAAACATTCCACAATTCATGTTTTAAGCTTATCCAAAGTTCCCTGTGTGGAGTTCTGTGTGTTTGTGTTGATCATTTATAAACAAGAAAGCAGGTTTCTAGATGCCACCCAGAATGTTAACTGCCTCTCGACTTTGGCTTTAATTACGTTTTCGTGGAATGAAATTCTGTTTCTCAACTAGGTTTGTAGTTTCCATCATTTCTCATATTTCACATGATTCCTAAAGCAGTTCTCACTTTTCTCCATTTATTTTCAGTGATAGAAATCCTCTCTCTCTTCATGACTCCATCCCAAAACAAACCAAAGATGGTCACATGCTAGACATAAATAAAAAATTTGTTGGTAATTGGAGACTCAGAATGTCCTTTTTTTAAAATAATAAACATATTACCAGGTTCCCAGGCTAACCGGGCTTTACCAACAGTGCACCTACCCATTAAGTTACCACTACTTGTTCACATCTAAAGCCAGGGGGTAGAGAGCAGGAGAACTGGAGGAAGCCAGGAGGGTGAGGCCCTCCTGACTGGGCTAGCGGGCCAGCCTTTGAGAAAAGTCAGAACAAATCAGTCTGTCCTGGACTCTTCTCCCTTGTGAATTACCTTCCTGTGCCCAGGGTCCGACTGCTGCTCCTCACCCCTGAGTACAGTCATGGGGTAGAGAGTGCTCGCTAACTTATGTGGGTAGTCCTATGGTGCTTAATTTCCAGGCCTTTAAAAAATACTTGTAGACAGTGATGTGCGGGTTTTTTGTTGTGATAGCCAAATGTCTCCATTATTCTCCAGACTGTGAATAAAATGATTTGTCAAGGGCTACCTGCTAGCCAGTTTCCTCTCCTCTTGGACTTGTAGAGCCCTGGCTTCTGTAAGCTGCTGCCTGCTTGCGAAGTGCAAACCTGCAGTCATTGTGACTTTGGTAACAAAAGGCAGGCTTCCCTAGTAGCGCAGAGCCAAGAGGAGCCAACCAGTGGTGATTTTAACTTCTCCAAACACTTCTGAAGTTTTCTGATGATACCGTTGGCTTTCTCTCGGAGAAGTGAGGTTATGCTGGAAGTGGAGCTTCTAGACATAACATCATTACCTCACCAGCAATAAACAGATCAGCCCCAGAAAGTCCCACTCTTAGAAATGTGTTTCTGAGCAGCAGCAGTCCCGGTGCTGGTGGTGCCTGCCTGGTACGGGAGGCTGCCTCCTGTCTGAGAACTCCGGCCTGACAGATGCTGGCCGAGACCCCAGACACAGCCCCTTCGATAGGGATGGACTTTCTTCCTGAGGTCAGTTCAGTAAGTGGATTTGATTTTTACTATTGTAGAATTCTGGCAAAGAGGGAAAGTAGTGGTCCCTCAGTCTTCCTGTGTGTTCTGCATTAGATTTTGATATTTCCGACTATACAAGGCTTGGGGGGATGACACTGCATGTGATAGCGGTGACTTTACTGAAGCAACTGCGTTGAAATTCACTTGGGTTTCTCTCATTCTCAAATTCTGTTCCAGATAAGTATTCTGTAAATCCAAATGGATTACCAGTGTGCTATAGGTTTTTTAATAGAACATTCTATGTTTGATCTACATCAACAGTAGTTTGCATAAGTTAGTCTTGGTTACCATCTAAAATATTTTTAAATGTTCTTTACATGAAAATTTATGTTGTATTTTTAAACCTTTAGGGGCTTTATCTATTTTTCTAAGTCAGTTAATTGTACTTTTAAAGAAAGTATTTTGTATCTACTTTTGTAACTTCGTCAGAATAAAATATATTAAAAGAAATGACTGATTAAAGTATGTGCCTCAACACTTTCTTTTAAAGATTTATTTTTATTTAAAGATTTTATTTAAAGATTTATTTATTTTATTTATTAAGATCTTTTTTAAAGATTTTATTTATTTGAGAGGGAGAGTGTACATGCATATTCCCCTGAGTGAGGGGGGACGGACAGCGGGGGAGGGAGAGAGGCAAGTGGACTCCACACTGGCTGGATCTCATGACCCTGAGACCACGACCAGAGCCCAAATCAAATCACACACAAAACCGGCTGAGCCACCTAGGTGCCCCTCACACTTACTTTTATTTAAATGTGAAACTTAAAGTTTTTGCTTCTGTAGAAGGTTGTCTTTGGTTATCATTTAGTAGCTAAAATGTCTCCTTAACTTTTAGAGGAAAGGGAAGTCCTGAAATAAATATTCCAGGGCCCCACCCCCAAGAAAGAAACTAGGCCTATGATTATAGTGGCTAAAACCCACCCCAAACAAAAAAATTCGTAGTCTCCTACATTAACCAACCTGATCTCTTTTTGCATATTCCTGGTTGTGGACTGAGAAAAGGGAAGAGGAGAGAATGGACTCATGATTTTCTGACCTTGAACTGAGTGCTCATCATATCTATAAAACACCGCCCACCCCAAACAGCCAGTTTTTGTTCCTGTAGGAGAAAGTTATTTTTGGAGGTCTGAATTATAGGTACCTTATTTTAAAGCAAAATAACAATGATAGAATTGTTTTGAGCTTTTGATTAGAGTTAAAATTTAGAAGTTAATATAGCTAAATAATATGAGTTAATACTCCTATTTTGAATAAGATATAAATACACTCTCAGTTTTGGATTTTTTTGTTGTTGTTACATTTCAATAATAGGATTAAAATCGCTCACAAAAATGTAACGATGTCTAATGTCTAAGTTTGAAAGCTCTTTTAAACTTTATAAATGAGTAGTAGGATAACCCAAATAATCTTTGGGAGGGCCAGAGTCAGGCTTCAAATCTACACAGCCAGAACAGTCTGAACCCTGTCTCCGGCCCTCTAGCCAATAACTCATTGCTGAAGGGCTTGGAATGGACACTACGGCCTGCACCATTATTGTTGGCCACTAGATGTCAGTCTCTGGGTCAGCACCTCCCAAAAGCCAGATGCATCAGCCCAGACCGAAATAAAGAATTTTACCTGAAACTCTTCCTTTCCTGTGTCTTCCTAATAAAAAAATACATACACACACACACACACACACACACACACGGGTGACAAAAATAACGAAAAATACAACAAAAACATGGGCGCCTCAGATTTGGTAGATCCTAGGTCACATACCTCTGTCCTGGCTGCTACAGAGGCTGGGCAACTTGCTGGATTTTACATGGAGGTTTAGGGTTCATAGCAAGATTCATGCTGGATATTTGAAAAACTTGGACTGGCTCCTTCCCTGAACTTTTTGTTCTCGCCCTGTGAAAAGATAAGGGAGTTGGCACTAGAATGTCAGTTTCTGGGCACACTGTTCAGTTCAACTGACATTTCTTTGTAGCGTATTTGCTAAGTGAAGGAAGTCAGTTATTGATTCAGATTCTGGTCAGGTTCTTTGATGAGTGCTTTGAATACCACTTCTTTAGGGGACCTGCCTGTTCAGGGGAGTCCTTCAGCGGGTTGTCATATTTAATCCTTAACGGCCACCTGTGAAGGGGGCAGTAACAGATATGTTAAGAATTTTCCAATGTTTTTCAGAAGGTGGCACAGATGCTCTGACTTCAAATAGCTAGTTCATAGTGAGACCAGTGTTTTCCTCTGGGATGCATGTGGAAAATTCTGTGTGCTGACGAGTGCCAGGAGGTTCTATAAAACAAAATGACTGCAATTTATACCTATGAGGTGTTAAAAAAAAAAAAAGTATCCAAAGAGATTCTCCTGATGGAGTTTTTTTGCAGTTAGCTCAGATGTAAATATGAGTGACCACGGACCAATATAAGCGAAGATAAGAGAATCTCAAGTTCAGAGCAAAAAAAGGAAAATGCATAAGGGATAGATCCATTTCCTGGGACTAAAGCTACTATTCTTTTCAATCATAACAAAACTGGCCTTTTATTTGCTTCTATCATAAAAAGTTACATTTGAAATATTAAGTTGAAACTAATTTGGAAGCCCAGAATTGCTGAGATTGTTCTGTAAATCCTTTCCTAAAAAGGTTCAAATTCACACTCTGGAGCTAGAATGGCTAAACCACTTTTCAGCTCTATGCAGTAATCCTAGTGTGTGCACTTTTTGTTCTATTCCAGGCTGGGCAGCTGACAACTAAATCTAGAGCCTGGGTGGAGGTCAGGGATCTCTGGGAAAAACACACCCACGTAAATTGGTAGAGTTCTCTGATTGCCATTTGTGCAATCAAAGTTCTGCACAAGTTGTGGGCCCCTAAGTTTACTGTGGGGCAATCAGAGGTGGCTGCCTGGAGAAGACAAGGCTTGAGTTGGCTTAGAAGATGGGTAACCACATAAGCAAGCTTGTAACATAGATGGCACAAGGAGGCATCAGCCGTCCAGTATTACTGAAGGATGGATGTCAGCTGGACAGGTAGGTAGGGGTTAAATCATATGAAAGAACTTGGGTTTTTGCCAGTAGGTGATGAAGGGTTAGAAGGATTTTCAATAAGCAAATAATGGACAGGTTTTCACTTCAGATGGCTCTGACAGCAGTGTGAAGATGGGAGGGGGAGGATACTAGGGCAGAGTGTTCGTCCAAAATAACAATAATAATGTAAGCCATCATGAAATTAGGAAGAAGAGAAAGGTTGAAAATAAGCAAAAGTACCGATTTTCACCAAAAGAGGAATTCGTCCAACACAAATCAGTGAGTTTAACGTGGGTGTCTTACAAGTAACAAACCCACTAACCAACTAAAATGACTTTAGTGCTTATTTCTGGCACCCTACAGTGTCCAGCATCTGTCTCCCAACAACTTCTGGATCTACTTCATTTCTAAACGGGTGCTGAGCACATGATTACAAAGATGGCAGCTGGTGGCAAAGGACCATTTCTCTTCCTTAGTGCCAGACGAGTCTCTAGAGCAACTCTCACTGGGCCGGCTCAGATCATTGACCAACCCAAACCAATCGGTGCCTGACGGGCCATGACCTGGGTCATATGACCACTCTCAGGGTAGGAGAGGTCAACCTCCTCTGAACCTTGGTGGTGTGAGGAGCGAACGGTGGTTCACTACTACACAATGGGTAAAATATTTTTGGTAGTTTTAATTACTCCTGAGAAGAAAAATAAAAAGTTAGCAAATTATCCCTAATCCCACCGGCCATGATGTTTAAGGAATGAAGCAAAAAAAAGTGAGAGAGGTTACTAGAGTAATCCAAAGGAGAAATTATGAGACCCAAAGGAGAAGTCACTCAGTACTGGAACGAATAAGCATATACCTAGGTGATCACTATAAGGGCAACTGTAGGCCTGTCCCACGTACTGAACATGGTGACTGCACAGGCCGGAATGCAATAGCAAGAACTGGGGAAGTCTGCAGGGTTTACCAGACTGCCAAAATATACTGCCTGAGAGAGAAAGGGCATGAGGCCTTGAGGTCTGTGTGAATCAGTCCAGAGGTGGGGCAGCCTGGCTGGATAATCGTACCTGTCCTCGAGCCAGCAGCTTCCACTACACTCTCAGGACTCCACGGTCTGCGGCTCCAGTCTACTTCTCTGCAGGCACCTTAAACTCAGGCAAAACCCAAACCGAGCTTGTTGGCCCCTTTCACGACACACCTCGCCCTCCTCCACCCATCGCACTGTCCACACCAGACACCTTCCTCAGCCTCGCCGCCCAGTCCAGTCACTCCGTTCCCTTCCCCTCCCAAGTATCCAGATCCACTCCTCCATCCCTGCTGTCCCAGCTGTCGCTGAGACCTCACATCTCACCCGGACCATCGCGGCAGCCCCAGAACTTCTGTCCTCATCTCGTGTCAGGCCTCCTACAGTCCCTCCTCTTCGCGGGAGCCCGAACGATCTTTCTAAAACGCAAATCTGAAAACGACTCCCCTGCTTTAAGTCCCTCCACGGCCCCCCTGTTCTGGAGGGAGAAACCCACACTCCCCAGTTTGGAAGCCAGGTTGCCGGCGGTGGGGATGGGAAGGGAGATGTCCTTCCTAGGGCGAGAGGGGCATTGGCATGTGGGCAACTCAGATCCGAGGGCCGAGAACCCCGGGCGTCCCCTGGCTGGGCAAGAAGAGCCCGATGGTGGAACGACCCCTGGAGGCTGGCGGAGCTCGGTGCGGACCGGGTCGGGCAGACTCGCGAGCTGGCGGAGCCGCAAGTTCCGAGGAGGCGCCCCCGGGGCGAGGACCGGGCGGGAGCTGGAGCCGGGCGGCTCGCGACCTCCGGGCGGCAGGGGGCGGCCTTGCCCGCGGCGGCGGCGGCTTCTGGCCCCGGGCTCTGCGCCTCTCAGGGGACGCGGCGACCTCGGGCGCCGGGCCGCGTCGGCCGGGCATGGCGGCGTGGAGCCCGGCTGTGGTGGCGCCGCTGCTCCGCGGGATACGCGGGGTGAGCGCGGGCGGGGCCGGGCTGTGGTTCCCGGGCGGGAGCTGCGGAGGGCCCGCAGCGCCGGTCGAGGCTGGAGGACGGGCTCGCCGAGAGCGCGGCGCCGGGCCTGGGGCCCTTCCCTTCCCTTCTCTCATTCATTCCTCGTGGGTTGGGTCCTTCCGTGGGCCCGGGCGGCGGGGCTCCGAGAAGTGTCAGGCCCCGGCGCGCGCTGGTGGAGCTGCCGAGCCGGTGGAGGCGGGGACGAGGGGAACAGACACGGAAACAGTTGTGATCTGGGCGCGGAGAGAGCGGTGTGGACGTACCGAGCCGGAGACCCGCGTGCCTGCCGGAGAGTGCGACGGTCTGGGCTTTGGGCAAGTCCTTCCAGCCTCTGGGACCTTAACCCTCTCCAACACACGCTCTGAGTAAAAGCCCAGCAGAGGGCATTCGTCACACGCTCTCCGAATTTTCTCTCCTCCCTGATTATACTTTCCTCGCT